ACCCTAACCCCTAACCCCTAACCCCTAACCCCTAACCCCTAACCCCTAACCCCTAACCCCTAACCCCTAACCCCTAAATCACTTAGTCTTTCCGACTTTGAGATCTCTGCTGCTCTTCACCTGAGGACGCTGTGTCCTGGGCACAAAACGATGTGTGCGGACTGTGGAAAGGAGAACGAGCTGGGGCATGATGACGTGTGCGAAAAGAGACCGAGGTGGAGGGTTTCTAGGCACGAACAGATCAAACACGTCATGGCGGATGCTCTAAAGTCCTCTGGTAAATTCGGCACGGTGGAAGTAGAGCCGATGGTATCCGGCGGAATGAACCGTACGGACTTGAGGGTGTTTGGTAACCGGGAAACCGGTACTGGACCCCAAGAGTTCGACCTCACGGTCGTCAGCATGGGAACACTTGAGGCCCGCAAGTTCAAGTGGATAGGCGAGGAGAAGCACGAGTACAAGGGAGAACTCCAAGCGGTTTTGGCGGTATCAGCTGATGCCAAGCGGAAGAAGTACGAGGGGAAGACAAAGACCCCGTTCCGGCCGTTGGTGTTCAGCATCGGCGGTGCTCAGGAAAAGGAGACGCTCAAGGTGTTCCAAGAATGGCAAAAGGTCATGTCCGAAACGGCCTTTGGATTCATGGGACGCAGGATCTCCCTCATCCTACTGAGAGCAAGGACCCGGCACTTTGCCACATGAGTAGATACTTGACAGACGGTGTCACTACTGCGTATAGATTAGTTGGATTGTGGAAATGACTGCTTTTGACTGTGAATGGCCGAATTCTCGATTTCTTAGATATTTTCTCTATTATCAAACACCTTCTCTTGTAAATTGAACCTTGAATGCATCCTAGATCTATCATTAAAACCCCTAACCCCTAACCCCTAACCCCTGAGCAGAGTATCCATGCCATCGCCATCCAGAACACGGTCTGCGTGTCCGGTCTCCCTGTGAGTGCAAAGCCGCTCGCGCGCAGAGGTGCTACAGACCTTGCAATCGATGATCTGTTGAAGCTGGGTCTGATGCACATCAGATCGAGGGGTACGTCGTGGGCCACCGCTCTTCTTGAGTGGAGGTGGCCCCGAGGATCCCGACCCGGAACTGTCCTGAACGGCGCCATCGAGGCGGTCTCCGTCTGCCTCGACGCTGTCACGCTGTCTCTTGCGATTCGACCCGGGTTCCTCAGAAGAGGTGGGATCCTGACCGTGGCTCTGTCGGTAGGCGCCTCGAGCGTTCACGAGATCGATCGAACTGATGAAGGGGGTAGCCGTTCCTCCATGACGACCCGATGCAGCGTCTTTGCAGCGCTTGTCCCAAGCCGTATGGACCAATTCCAATGCCTCCTCCTTACTCGGTCCGGCCAAGAGCAGCGAGTTAAGAGCACGCAGATACTTAGGCGTAGGATCGGGAGGCGGTTTCATCTGATCGTGTCGAAAGTTTTCAATCCCGTCGAGCTTCCATCCTTGAGCTATCTTTGTGGCCATGTTGATGACATTCTGACGGTTGTGAAAGAACGTTGCCCACTCTTCGATGGCTTGAAGAGCGGCCGGAGCGACTGGTCCTACGGCTCCGAGCGTTGAAGCGGACGCCGAACCACCGTTCGGTACGAGGTATTGGTAGCAAAGATGGGCGAGAGCGAATACGGACTCGCAAGGACGAGGAAGGGATGCCAGGTGGTCGAGACAGATACGCTGGGCTTCTTCATGGGGCAGCTTTTGTAATTGGAGTGAAAACTCGTCCAGCAGGTCCGGAGAGCTGACGAGGCGGAGAGTGTCGGGTGCTAAAGTCTCGAGTGGATCCGGCATGGTGATTTAGGAATGCTCGAGTGGTGTCCATCTTGAAGGAAGGGGGACAACCCCAGTCGAAACGAGTCTGGCTAGCTTTATATATATGCAACGGGAAGTCTTGAAAGACGTTCTTGACCATCGCACTGACGTCAAAAGTTCTCTATGACGTTGAAACGATCTACGTCATACCTGACGTCATGTGTAGGTGGATAGAGGTCTCTTGAAACGACCTGCACAAGAATGCGTCTCTTGCTCTCGTTTCATGCGATTCATATGCATCTGGCAACTCGCTACAGCCATGGTCAATTGACGATCGAAAATCTCGAAATCGGCCATCTCCGGCCCTCTGACCAAAAGTGGAGGTCATGTTCGGAACCGAAAGTGCGAGGCCGATCGAATGGAGAACTTGTGGAAAAAAATAGGTAACAGACGACATCGCGGACCGCAAGCGATGTAGACCACGGCAGAGCATCGATCGACAATAGAAATGAATATTAATCATAGTTGAATGAATGCCACGGAACAACGATCGACAAGCGGCTGCCACCGTGCGTCTCGTTCGAATTACGCAGACAAGAGTAGTGACACTACTCCGCCGAATTCAATAACCTCTGTACTTCTTCGGGACGGATCAACCACTCGAGCCAAAACTCGAAAAAGTGTGGAACATGTCCATAGTGTTGGCGAGGTTCAAAGAACCATTCCCGAAGCAGATCAAAGTCAACCGCACGACCCCTTGATGCGACCTGGTCGATGTGGTGATGTTGGCCGATAAGGCGGATCCAGTCGTCCCGGAGAGCAATCGTGTGAATGATGTCGGGGACGAACGACTGCAAAGGACACAACCGTGTGAACGGACGTTCGCCGCATTGAAAGCAACGGCCACCTTGAAACTGAAAACGACGGGGGAGGGTGGTCTGCGGGCATGCAGACCTCTGATGTCCCTGTCGAAGACATTTGAAGCAAGAGCTTGACGGCCGTGTGGGACACGCAAGTTCGCCGTCGGTATGCCAAAAGTCCTGGCCCCGTTTGGCGACGAAGCAGACCCCGCAAGGGATCAACTGGGAGTCACGTCGATCAAGTATGCCCTGGCGGAGAGATTTCAACCAAGCGGCGTAAAGACGGTCCAAGAACCGATCCACAAGCTCGTGATTGCGTCCGATAGGGTTGATCTGAGGCGGCAAAGGAAAAGGTTGCATGACGACAGACGACATTGGGACGGGCGGCCTGTCGTGTGGAGGAACGCTGGAGGAGAGCAGCGATCCGCCCGTGGAAGGAAGAGCCTCCTGGAAAGAGAGGGGTTTTCCCGCTTGCGTTTCTTCCGGAAAGGCGACCTGGTTCCAAAAGGAAGGACACGCACCATAGGAAGACGATTTGGCCGATACCGAGTCCACCGGTGATGGCCGAGCGGGGGCAATGCCAAAGTTCTTCGAGACGCCTGGCCCAGATGGTGGGGGTGGCGTCCGTTCGCCCAGGAAGGACAGTCCCGGAAGACGAGGTTGGTCGTCGACAGTCTCCCCAGCGACCGAATCCACAGCATGGCCTGGTCTCTCGGCCTCAAAGGCAGGATGAGCCAAAAACCTCTTCTGGGCCACCGATTTACCCGTCTTCTTGATGGCTAACGAACTCTGGACGGGCGGATCGGCGCTTGCCAGGCTGGACTGAACAAAGGGAGGATGATGTGAGCGCTTCTTCGGTGCCGGGCGCCTTGTAACCGGCCGTGCCTCAGGTTCGGGGGAACTCGAATCGATCACGATAGGCGACGAAGGACTGTTGAGCCTACGGGTCGGGGCGGGAGCGGTCTCTTCAACCTTGATGACGGTTCGTCCACGACGAGTTGAACCTGTTGCGATCGGCGAAGGTGCGGGAAAGAGGGGCTTGAAGCGACGGACCGGCTCAGAAGACTTGAGGGTCGGGGCAGGCAGTGGAGCGGTGACAACTGGAGCCGGGGTCGAAGCCGTGGGTTCGGCAGGACCCGAACGGATACCAGGGCCAATGACAGTCGATCTTGCTTGAATGAGGCGGCGGTCTTGCACCAGACGAAACGGATGCGAAGGATCCCGAGGGTTCCGAGCTTCATCAAGCTCGCTTTCGCATAGCGAACAGAGTTCCGTACCTGGGCCCCCTGTGAAACACGAGGAAGAAATCGAGTCGAGAAGGGTGGTCAGTTGACGCCGTATGCAGTCGCGAGGCTTGCAGAAAATCTTGTAAACTTGTTGATAGGGCGATAGCGGTCCCGATTCGTAGAAAACGGATTCCAGACCCTTCAACAAACTTCGTTCGAGATCAGTCAGAGACGGATCCTTGTCGGCTGCGTTTGGCACAAAGGGGTCCCTGGACCGAAGAGGCGGGATCATATAGATGTCTGCAGGAGATCCATCCCGACCAGCCCGACCAGCTTGCTGCGCGAAATCGACAACGTTGAAAGGGTTCCCGACAAAGAAGACCTTGCGCACATGAGGGCAATCCACACCTTGGCCCAAAGCAGAGGTGGCGAACATGATCTTGCTGACGCCAGTCATCCAGTTGGCGAACGACTTGTTCTTTTCCTCGATGGGAAGCTGAGCGTGATACAGCTCCGAAGGCCAAATTGCGCCGGCATGCTTGAAGAAGGCGGCGTGGACGTCGACCATATCTTTGACGTAGGGGATGTAGACGATGATCCGTGTCGGGTCGTCGTTATCGCCCGTCAGACAGCCGTCCAACTCCTTCGCTATAAAGGCAACCACTGCCTTGTTCCAAGCGTCTGTCGTGATGTTGGCGGAAGAGGAAAGAGCCTTGTCGTCAACTTGGAGGTATCGAAGGTTAGGCCGGTTAGAGGATGCGCGGACCACGTAGACGTCGTTGATAGTTGTATCCAACCATCGAGCGAGGATAGGTTCCCAGTGGGGAGGCAGCGTTGCCGTCAGCCATAAACTCGGAACGCCTTTGAGGTTCAGCTTTGCCTTGAGGTGGAGCAGCGCTCTGAGTTTCTGCCGAAAGTTGACTTGAAGAAGAACCGTATGAACCTCGTCGATAACGATGCGGTCGAGCATCTTGGCGGCATGAAGCGACTTGATGAATTCGCAAAAATGGTCCGAGGTGATGTTTTCGACCGCAACGTAGACGAGTCGAGGGCAGGCTCCAATCGTAAGATCTGCGCTGTACCGGACCACATTCAGACCGGTTCGCGCGGCAGTAGGCAAAATGTCTTCAGTGAGGCGCTGGTGAAGAGAAATCATGACGGTAACCCCCTCGGAAAGCAACGATGGTAGCCAAATGAGCGTACTCTTACCAGACCCAGTCGGATAGATGGCCAATACGTCTTGGCCCCGATGCAAGATCACGTCCAGGGTGCGAAGCATTGACGGGTCCTTGAATCGAGCTCGATCGTCACCGAGAGCCGCTTGCAACCCTCCCACCAAGCAAGGATCCGTGACTCCGGAAAGGGAGACCTTTTGTGCTAGAGGAGGCGGCCCAGACGTGACCTGGGCGGTGGCCCGGAACAATGCCTGACGGACCTCCTGCTCGAGACATTCGATGGCAAACGTGAGAGCGAGAGCCAGATCAGCCGGAGGGGTCTGTTTGACGTTGCCATCGACAGCGGCAAGTTGTTGAGCGAGACGTCGTGCGTCTGGCGATCCGCTTGCGGGAAGGTCGTTCATCTTCTTCGGGTTGAACTTGGGACCTAGCCCGATCCACCCCTGCCAAGCCGTGCATATCAGATGTTGTTGCAGCAAACGTTCGGCCATGCCGTTCTCGGGCTCCTCTTGGTGATGCGCATAGAGTTCCCGACCCGTCCGAGCCGTATGGTTGGCAGCCAGTTCGATGAGCTCCGGGACGGTGCTCATGTCGGAGAGTTCGGGCGAGATGTACTTCCTTGCGAATGCTATACATACATGGCGATAGTCAGACATCGACAAGGGAAGGTCTCCTACCGTCTGCATAATGTGGCGAAACCTCGAGGTGAGGAAGTGCCCAGGCAATATCCCAGTATGAGTGGCAAAAAGGTGGGTAGACAGAGCGTCTGACGGTGAATGACCTACAAGGCCATCGTCTAGGCGCAGCTTCTGGGCAAAAGCGCGGGCGGTCGGAAGGGCGAATGTCAAGTACCGAATCAAAATCGCTCCGACCCTGTTGCCAACGTATTTGGGGACCGGTTGACCGAATCCAAAGACGGCGGTCTGCTTGGTATAACGGAAAATGAGAAACAACCCGTTGGGGTCGTGGTATAAAGATCGGTGACGATCTCCCGTCTCCGAGAGCAACAGCGTATTATACTCGGCAGCGCGTGAAGGGACGGCACAGGCAAGGTGAAGGGCCGTAAAGAGTAGGCCGAGGAAAGTCTTCTGATGGTCGAGGTATCTCAGCATCCGTTGGCGGTCCAGGAAAACAGTCCCGTCTGCCAGGGTACCGTAGAACTTCTTTTGTAACGGAGGAGACGAGGCGATGGCCTGGAGGACTTCGGCATGCTTTTCGTAAAACTCGTTGCCTGTGTCCGTCATGAATGAGTACCCCAACGTCTCTCTGCGCAACGTGTCGGCTACTGGCAAGTTCGAGTCTTGATCCACGAGTGAGGTGCCCAATCCCAAAAGCAATTCTTCTTCGAGAAACTCGGACAGCCGCGTGACGATACGACCGGCAGCAACGGTCAAGCGCTGCTGGGTGACGGAAATCCGGCCGATCGAAATGTAGAATTGGGAGGCAGAATATCCCATCGTGAGACGAGGTGGCAGATCGCGGCGTGCCATCCGAGCTGTGCACAGGGCACGTCGTACCCAGGCAAAGATGTACTGGGCGTTGTCGGCGTGACAATACTGCTCCAGTATCTGCGCTTCCGAATCGTTGCATGTGATGCTGTCGTAAATTTCGCACGCTTGCGTCCAAAGTAGCAGCCGGATCGAGTATTGCAGGTGGGCAAAGACACCGGAATAGTGGTTCGGTGCGATGAGCTGAACGACGTCCGATTCGTCAGCCAACTCAGCAGCATCGAGGTTGTCGGCTATCGCTGCTTGATCCCCGTCCTCTTCGGAAAAGAAAAGGTCCTTTGGCCGATCCGAGTCGGACGCATGGCTCTGAACGGTAGACGAGAGCATGAACCATTGGAGCGGATCGTGCCAGAGATCCTTGATCTGATATGCGGTCTTGACCAGTGTGTCGAACCAAAGATGGATGCAATCCGAAATCTCTTCTTGCTGAGGAACTAGCATCTCCGCCCATGGCACAAGTCGGGAAGGTGCAGAATCGACGGCCGAGAACCGGTCCCGCAAACAGAGGAACTGTTTGTGCACCGGAGCCTCGATCTGCCAGTCATGACGGTTGCCGCTCGGTTCCGCAAGACAGTGGCTGGTATATCTCAACGTGACCAAGATGATTCGCCGAAACGTCTTGGCGTAGATGCGGCGCGAATCCGGTTGAAGCGCTTGGAATTCGCTTCGTCCAGAGTGTGCGCTCTCCCCTTTGAGGAGCTTACGGAACGGGACGCCCATGTTTCGAGACAGGGTTTTGGCCCATCCGTCCCAGACTTTGTCGGCGTGACGATAGAGATAGGTGATCCAAGGAGCGTCGGTATCGAGCGGCTTCGGGAAGCCTAACCGAGCCAGATCGAGCAAACCAACAGTCTCCAGCTGGGTATCCCAACCGATCTGACTATGAAAGTCGCTCATTTGTCGGACTCCGTTATTGAGATTCGCGAGCGCGTCCTTGACCTTGGGTCGACTCATCGATATGAGCGGCCGCATGACCGAGGTGAACTTTGGGAATCGGTCGACCTTGGGCACCAACGGGTTCGTGGCCTTTCGGGCCACTACACACCAGGTCGACGGGTTCAAGCCAATGGATTGGGCCCAGATCATCTTGTACGGTTTGCCAATCGGTTTGTCTTCCCCATCACGTGTCCTGTTGTGTTCTTTACGCTGATGAGCATAGAGGTGAGATACCCCGGGAGTCCGGTAATCGCAAGCAGGATGCAGACATTGGAAGACCTCCGCAATAGGTATTCCAGAGATGGGTGGGGGTAGCGGAGCTTCAATATCACGGGCTAGATAAGAATCTTGCAGCAAGCCAGATTGAACGTTCCCTAACCGTTCGTTGATTTCGATGCGGACAGAGTGGAGGTATTCGGGATGACTTTGGTCCTTGTGAAACCGTCGAAGGTGGGTTATCAATCGGTCCAATGTGGCCTGATTGTACAGGGGCGATGTACCCGTATGTCGAGGATGGGTGCAATGGGCTACGCCCACATGCATATTGAAGAGGAGTCCGAAATGGGACAAAGCTGGGCTGACTACGGAAAGAATGAGAACAGCACGGGATGAGAATTCATGAAGAGTGGTGCGCGAGGCATGTTGTAGACTGACCGTATAAAACATCCGAATGAGGGGTGCCGTCGAGTGAACCGTGTGAATCCGAAGGTTGTTCAGAATCCATACGAAGCTTCATAAGCTCATCCTCGATTTCGTCAAACTTGGCATCGGGGTCGTCGACCGGAAGAGTCGAACCCAGCTCTTGCACCGGAGCGATATCTTCATGAGAACAGCCAGCCAGGATTTCTCGCCCAAGATCTCGTGAACTGGGCATAGGCATTTCTACGTCCGGTACCGAGGCAGCGGGATACGACCCATTTGCTTCAACCGCCCAGGGAGTGTCTTCAGCCTGAGGTGGCATCCAGTTTCGAGTGCCATGGGGATCATCCTCCCAAAGTGTAGGAAAGGCGCCCACAGTGCCGAAAGAAACAGCATCCCTGCCGTGCTGATTGAGATGAACCGAAGCGGGAAGGTGGGGGACAAAAGCAACGGGAGCGAGCTGAGGTGACCGAGGGGAGGTGCTGGTCCGGACCTTCTTCTTCGGAGACGGACTATCCTCCCACTCCGGAGTGTCGGATTTGGATGTTGAAGACCTGGGCGAACCTCGACGAGGAGAGAGCTTGACATCTTCTGCGGCCCGCTTGGAAGCAGCCGAGTCTACTTGTCCAAAGGAAAGCGTAGATCGGCCGGGAGGAGGAACGCTCAACGACCAAGAGGGTACGTTGGCGAGGAAGGCGTCCTCCGGGGTCGAGGAGTCTCGAGAACGACGTTCCTCTGCCGGAGCTGGCTGAGGAGTAGCGGGATTGATGGGAAAGGGTTGGTCGAACCCGAAAGGATCCTCGCCAGCAGGTAGGTGAATGAAATCATCGATGTGGAAATCATCCTGATGATAGTCTTCATGGTGATCGTCGTCAGAAAAATCGCTCGACAGAACGAGATCTGCGGTCCCAAACTGCACGACAGACGAACAAGCCTTCACACGATTGTAGAAGGTGTTACGTTTGGTGTTACTATAGCCACAGTTGCAAGTGTAAGCGGAATGAGGGTCCGGCCCATGACGGGCAAAAGTAAAACCTGTCGAAAAGAATCGTCAGATCAAGACGGGTGCGAGCGGAACCAAAAAGTCAAGCGGATACCGACCGAGGCAGGTAACCGATCTCAACGAGTGTTGGCGCGTGTGGACCTTCAGAGTTTGGGGAGGAGTAATAAGGGCCGGGCAGTGAGGACACTGAACAGGTTGGGAAGGGGCAGGCATGGTAAGGAACAAGGAAAGAGTTGAGAAAGCTGGAAGGGAGGAGGGTGACGAGGAGGTACAAAGACATACGCGATGAAGAGTGGAAGCTCGATGAACATCCAGGATAGCTTATATGGAGACACGTGAATCACGTCGCGAGTCGCGCTGATGAGGACCTCGAGTTGACAATGTAAACATGTTCGTCAGTTCGCAGAGTGCGGGAATATGCATTTCTTTCGGGATTATAGAATTCTAGGTGAGCAGGGAATGTCAAAACGCATTGCAAGTGGTCGAGGGCCGACAAAAGCCTCGAGGCATCGCAATGTTCGAGTTGAATGACAATGCTGTCTAGAGTAGGACGCAACGGGAAATGCTTGCTTGCGAAATATCCTGATGTAGTCAACAAGAAGCTCGGCGATTGTCAGTGGCTTACAGCGGTCGCCGAAAAGGGTTATTGAGGAGTCCCGGAGTGCCGAAGGGGAAGGAGCAAGTCGCGTGAACGATTGCAGGCCGGGGAAAGAACGCGTCCTTCTTGACGCGAAGGTATGAAAAGGCAACGAGCAGCGAGCAGCAAGGAAGGATCTGAGGCTACGAGGCTAAGGGAGAGCGAAGTGAAGACACGCAATGCAGCGGAAGCAACTTGGCCGGCATGACGGGCGAGTTGCTTCCGGTCGATGCGAAAAAAACGAGAACGGAAGACGTAAGTGTGAAAGCTATGAATCTCGTAGTGACGGTCATACGACACCGCGGAGAGAGTATCAACCGGGCGAAAGATAGTCTGTCGACGTGTGTCGTGCGAAGAGGAGAGGAGATCAGGATTATCGGC